CTGGTGAGAATGACAATAGTGTAGTCAGGCAAGCCGGGTCGACAACAACAGGACAAAACAGTACAGAACAGTAGACAGAGAATCACAAGTCACAGGCCGGGTTCAGCAACGGAAGGTCAGATCGAATGAAAACACAGAGAATGGTCTTAGTCATAAGCCGAGTCAGATACCAGAAGAGTCACGAGCGTATACACAGAGCTGTAACAACACCAAGACACAAGACACAAGTGCAAAGAGCATGTGCGGATCACAGGCTTATATGTACTCAGCCACACCCCTCTGGGGGAATGGACCTCAGAGACCTGAAGGCATAAAAGCTTCCCACCATGCTCAGCAGAAATCCAAGATGGATGCCAGCACATGGAGTAACATAACCTCTGAGAAAAGGTAGGACCTTGACAGCGACCCATTGTATGCAGTGTACTAGAGTGGGGAGTGTCATTTTCAGAGCCAGAAGTTTCACCACATACAATGGTGCTATGGTTGGGTTTGGTTTTCAAGGAATAACAGTGGAAATGTCCTCGTCAGATAATATCAAGCTTGGTAACAATTTCTTCATCTCTATGAAAAAAAGAGCAAGTCCTTCACAGAGTACCCTTGGGATATCAGCAGTCTAGAAAAGCAGAAGTGGATTCCGAAATCAGGAGCAGCAAGGTGACTTAAGCAACCATTAAGCGCTTTTAAGAACCATGTTGCTTTCACTGACCATTGAAAAAAAAAAAAAGTTTTTTAAAAAAAGCAAAAGCCCCCTAGAGTGTTTTATAGGCACACTGGTGACCTGGCTCCAGGAATTTGTCCAGTCCAAGGAAGACAATATCCCAGTCGCGGTAAAACAAGCTGATGGACCTCTTTCCTCCTGTTTTTTTGTAGTTTTGTACAATAAATCTGATTAAGCCAAGGCTGGAAAAATCCCAGAAGTCAGGAAGCCAATGTTCCTTAAAAATTACAGATGGCACCTAATTTTTGAGGTTCCCTCTAGTAGTCAATGGAGCTGGCTCCCAAACGAAAATCCTGTTGGCTTCTGGACTGGACAAACTGGCTCCATATTAATTTGTTCGCCTTTGGATCACGCTCCGTTATAAAATGACACAGCAGACCGGGCTTTGCTCACAATTCTACAGGATATTTGCATCTACCCGAAAAGCAAAGATGGATGGTGGTGAACCTGCCCTGAGCAGTATTGCCTACAAATGGAGAAACAGAAAAAGGGCGCACTGACCTAGTGCATTATCGTTTAAAATAATTTATTAAAGAAACAAAAAAAGGTATCATACTCACAATGGACATAATAACACAGGCATGTCAAACTGAACAAGGTGTATGATTCAAACAACATCTGAGTCCATACGATGGAACCCTGGATGACCAACTGGCTAACGTGTTTCGAGGACACAACCTCTTCCTCAGAGCCAAGTGTTTGTTGTGTTGGCTGAGCAGTATTGCCACCAGTGATGCGACAAGGTCACCCAATATACTTTGAGAAGTTGATATGGTGACCAGGAGATGTTGTAAGGAAGTGATTTAACAATCTGATCCACGTGCGTACAGCCCAAATTTTCGTTAGCGACCAAAAATTGTCTGTTCTTATGGTGAGTGTAATTTCCTTGTGATTTTTTGAGCAATGTATGCAGAGTAAAGGGACCATCCCTTTTCCAATTACAGACAGTCCCCATGTTATGAACATCCGAGTTACGAACGACTGCCCATACAGCAGCACATGACTCTGCTGACTGTCCCGTTCCTTTGTCCTCCGCTCCCAAAGGATGCAAAGGGAATATAAACTGCTAAATAACTTTTCTCATCAGCAGTATATAGCAATCTAGTGACTTCTATCAGTGTCCAGCCCAGCACTGGTTAATCTTCTAGGAGGAGTTTTTCATTCTCCTCTGACTGTCCTATGAGGCTACACGACCCCTTACCCTCTGTCTGGATAGTGCTGACTGGCCCTGTGCTGATCACATGCACTCTCCCAAAGAAAAGAATAGAGGAGAGAGAGAGGTGCGCCAGACTAAGTGCAGTTATTATACACAGGTTATTGCACACAAGATATTAAAAACTCACAAGACGTGGGTAGGTATCAGGCATCAAATATAAAGAGGAGGACGTCATCTGTGCTGCACATCACGGGCGGATGGCTGCAGTGCCAGGGTATTCAACGGCTGGCGCTCTAGGCGGGTCCCACAGGAGGAAGCGAGGACGGCAGGCGCAGTAACCGGGAGTCGCGGCGCAGAGAAGAACCGTGATCCAGGGCGGGCGCTGCTGGTGTCTCACATCAGCGTGGGTGATGGGGCCAGCTTGAGGCGCATCCAAGATGGCCGCCGAGCGGAAGTGACGTCAAGACGTTGCTGGGAGTCGTCCAAGGGGGCGGTGACGCGTTTCAAGGCAACCAGCCTTTTCTTCAGACCCAATAACTCTCTAGCAATACACACTTAACTGAGTATGTGCAGAGTGGCTCCTAGATCTCTGTACTATCAGCAAATTATTATTATTATTATACAGTATTTATAAAGCGCCAATGGTTCGCTCAGCGCTGTACATTACAAAGGGGGACAGAACATGTGACAGAACATTAACAATACAATGCAAAACATGAGGGGATCGAGGGCCCTGCTCTTTCGAGCTTACAATCTAGGAGGGAGGGGATGGTGGCACAGGAGGAGATAGCTGTGGGGGATGGAGTGGTAGGAGGAGTGGAGGAGGTCGGCAAGTTAGCAGGGGGTGGGGTAGGCTTCCCTGAAGAGAATGGGTTTCAGGGTGCGCCTAAAGGAGAGGAGAGTAGGTGATAATCTGATTGGTTGGGGCAGGGAGTTCCAGAGGATGGGTGACACCCTGGAGAAGTCCTGGAGGTGGGCATGGGAGGAGGAGACCAGGGAACTAGAGAGAAGGAGGTCTTGTGAGGAGCGGAGTGTGCGTGCTGGGCGGTACTTGGATATTAGGTCAGTGATGTAGTTCGGGGCAGTATGGTGGACAGCTTTGTATGTCAGCGTTAGGATTGGATTGGGGACATTAAAAGGGGAGGGTCAGAGAAGACAGGATCAAACAGCTTTTTTTACACAATGAGGATTAACCCCTTAGGTTCCACGGTGAGTATAACAAGCATGCTTTACTGCATATACAAACTGATTTTACTGTTATGGGTTTAAAACCGCTACTGCACCAACACCTGAGCCTACGCTTAAAAACTGGAATTTATTTCTTGCATCAGCTCATGCCTAACCATTATTACCTTATGTGTAACACTTGCCCCTCTTTATTAGATTGTAAGCTCTTATGAGCAGGGCCCTCTTAACCCTCTTGTATTGAATTGTGCTGTTTTTTTTGTAGCTCTCTTCATAGATCATAAGTTGAATGCTTGAATGGCTTCTGATACAGTAGGACAAGGTAGGAATGCATGATGTGAGCTCACAGGTCACAAAGCCCGGTGAACAAATCCACCTGCAGCACCCATACAGGACAAGTCGGTCAGGAAATCACTGGAGTCCCAGGGAGACATGAGCTTTCTTTATATGATGTAAAACATTTGTGTCCCACCAATGCCCATATGTCAGTGCCGGGTACGCTGAACCTTTCCTTGTATTCACAAATGTTACTGCATCACCCACACAAGAAGCTCTAATGAGCTCTTAATTAAAATCCGAGTTTAACGGCAAGAAAGGATATTGTGCTTAATTAGAAGTTATTATCTATCAGTAATAAAAATATTACCGCTTCTTCATAAAATAATGAGGAATCAACTGGTAGGGTAATTAACACAAGAGAGACAGGGAGGGGGAAGGGGGGAACGTCAGGGACAAAAAAATGCCGGGGGGGGGGGGGGGGGGCAGAATGATAGAGTGTGCTGCTGGAGGGAAGGATCTTTCAGTAACTTTATAAATAATATAAATCTTTATAAATCAGCAAGAATGAATTGCTAATATATCACAATATACAGAAATAGTAAACTTTTTCAAAAACACTATGGGGGAGATTTACTAAAACTGGAGAGAGCAAAATCTGGTGCAGCTCTGCAGAGAAACCAATCAGCTTCCAGGCTTTATTAGCAAAGCTTGACTGAAGAAGCTGAAGTACGAAGCTGATTGGCTACCATTATTATTAATTATTATTATTATTATTATTATTATTATTATTATTAAACAGGATTTATATAGCGCCGACAGTTTGCTCAGTGCTTTACATAATGGTGGGAGACAATACAGTAACAATACAAGAGGGATAGGAGGGTCCTGCTCCTTGGAGCTTACAATCTAGGAGGGAGGGGCTAGTGGTACAAAAAGGTAATAACTGGGGGGGATGGAGTGGTTGGGAAGAGTAGAGGATTCCAGTATTAGCTGGGAGCAGGATAGGCTTCCCTGGAGAGATGAGTTTTCAGAGTGCGCCTAAAAGTGAGCAGAGTAGGTGATAGTCTGATAGACTGGGGTAGGGAGTTCCAGAGGATGGGGGAAGCCCTGGAGAAATCCTGGAGATGAGCATGGGAGGAGGAGACAAGGGAGCTAGAGAGCAGGAGGTTTTGCGAGGAGCGGAGAGTACGGTTTGGGTGGTATTTGGGTATCAGGTCGGTGATGTAATTTGGGCAGTGTTGTGAACGGCTTTATACGTCAGTGTTAGTGTTTTGAATTTTATCCGTTGGGCAATGGGAAGCCAGTGGAGGGATTGGCAGAGAGGGATGGAGGACACTGAGTGGAGGTCAGTGGAGGGATTGGCAGAGAGGGGTGGAGGACATGAGTGGAGGCCAGTGGAGGGATTGGCAGAGAGGGGTGGAGGACACTTGGAGGCATTGGCAGAGAGGGGTGGAGGACACTGAGTGGAGGCCAGTGGAGGGATTGGCAGAGAGGGGTGGAGGACACTGAGTGGAGGCCAGTGGAGGGATTGCAGAGGGGTGGAGGACACTGAGTGGAGGTCAGTGGAGGGATTGGCAGAGAGGGGTGGAGGACATGAGTGGAGGCCAGTGGAGAGATTGGCAGAGGGGTGGAGGACACTGAGTGGAGGTCAGTGGAGGGATTGGCAGAGAGGGGTGGAGGACACTGAGTGGAGGTCAGTGGAGGGATTGGCAGAGAGGGGTGGAGGACACTGAGTGGAGGTCAGTGGAGAGATTGGCAGAGGGGTGGAGGACACTGAGTGGAGGTCAGTGGAGGGATTGGCAGAGAGGGGGAGGACATGAGTGGAGGCCAGTGAGGGATTGGCAGAGAGGGGTGGAGGACACTGAGTGGAGGGATTGGCAGAGAGGGTGGAGGGACACTGAGTGGAGGCCAGTGGAGGGATTGGCAGAGAGGGGTGGAGGACACTGAGTGGAGGTCAGTGGAGGGATTGGCAGAGAGGGATGGGACACTGAGTGGAGGTCAGTGGAGGGATTGGCAGAGAGGGGTGGCAGATACAGAGCGGTTAGTAAGGCGGATGAGTCTACCATGCACCAGATTTCTTAGTCCTCCAGTTTTAGTAAGGGCTTGTTTACACCTTACTAATTTCTAATGCTTGACAAACGCCCCTATACCATTAGACAGGCATTTAAGAAGGTTTTTAACTCTCCTCAAATGCCCTATGAGCGTTTTTGAGGCGTTTTATAGGCATTTGCCAAGCATTAAAACCGCACCACAAACACCTATAATGAAGTTTAATGGTATTAACGCTACGCAAAGCCTCGCAAACTCCTGCCATGTGTTTGAGGAGCATCACCATAGACTTGAATGGGAGGCTTCAACGCCTCCTGACTGGACATGAGGCGTCAATTTTGCCGCGCCGTGACCCTAACGCTTCAGTGTGAACAGCAATGTGTGCTGCCATGTGCAGAATTTTCATAGGCGTTTGAGGAGCGTTAAAAACGCTTCCCAAAACGCCTGTCTGACGCCTGCTAACAAAGCTATTGTGAACATAGCCTAACTCTCACCCCCCCCCCCCCCCCCCAATGACATTCATAAATAAAAATCTGCTCATGCGTTCCAGTCCAATTACTTTGATCGTTCACGCTGACAGCTCGAGAGGAGAGCCGGTAATCAGCATTCCTCGGCGGGGACATCTACAGTGTGCCCTGATGATCAGTGTAGCCCGAGCAGTGCCACCTGTCAGTGTCCATCAGTGCCTTGTGTCAGTGTGCTCATCAGTGCCTCGTGCCAGTGCCCATCAGTGCCACATCAATGTCACATATCAATCACCAGTGCACATCAATGCCACATATCAGTGCCCATCTGAGCTGCCTTTCAGTGTCACCCATCAGTGCCAGTCAGTGCCACCTATCAATGCCAGTGCCACCCATCAGTGCTACCTATCAGTGCCAGTCAGTGCCAGCTATCAGTGCCACCTATCAGTGCTGCCTTTCAGTGCCCATCAGTGATGCCTGTCAATGCCCATCAGTGCCACCTACCAGTGCCTTCTCATCAGTGCCACCTATCAGTGTCCATCAGTGCAGCCTCATTAGCGCACATCAGTGAAGGAGAAAAATCACTTATTTACAAAATTTTATAACAAAAACTAAGAAAAAAAGTTTTGTGTTTTTTTCAAAATTTTCAGTGGTTTTTGGTTTAAGAAAAAATAAAAAAACCCCAAGGTGATTAAATACCACCAAAATAAAGCTCTGTCACAAAAAATGATAAAAATTTCATATGGGTACAGTGTTGCATGACTGCGCAATTGTCATTCAAAGTGTGACAGCGCTGAAAGCTGGAAATTGGCCTGGGCAGGAAGGGGGTATAAGTGCCCTGTAGGCGAGGGGTTAATTACAGTGCCATCATCCACATACAGAAATAGAAGGGACAATGTAAATTAAACCCTGTGTGTTGAGCATCACTTTAAGATGAGATACTTTCATCAGTCCACTGCAAGCAGGAAGAAGCATTTCCTCAGTCTCCTCTCCCTCAGTGATCAGACTGCAATCATGCAAGTTTATATCAAGTCACATAGTGATCAGCCGAGAACTGCATAGGATTTACATGGCGGTGTCATTTCTAAACTGGCATCTCTGTCCAGGAGGTAAATGATGATCCTGGATGATGCCTGAACAAAGATGGTGCTGTCTTTTTCAACAGAGAACAGTCACTGTCAATGAGAAACACACGGAAGTGTTACACTTACACATGAACACATAAATCCGATGATAGGTCCAATTCAGGGCCAGTTCACACTAGAACGTAGATGTGGGAAAGCGGCGTTCTGCGTTGGTTTCCTGCACTGCATTTAAAATCGCACTGCCCTTGGAATCAGCAGTGGGTGTCAGTGCAAAGTAAAGAACAACCCAAATGCAGGTTGTAAATGCAGTGTATTTGATAGCATCAGATCACATGGTACCCAGTTGCAGTGCATTTCCAAAAGTCAAAAAGAATGGATTAAAATTACACGGCACAGAACTCCATGTAAATGGCGCGCGAACCGCAGTGTGATTCACATGCAGTTCTTAGTGTGACCTGGCCCTTAAAGCGGAGCTCCACCCAAAAGGGGAAGTTCCGCTTTAAGGACTGCTCCCCCGATCCCCATTAAGGATTGGCACCTTTGGGGGGGGGGGAGCGGGTACCCGAATTTGAAAGGTACCCGCTCCCACTTCTGGTCTGATCGCCTAGGCAACTGGAAACGGAAGGTGTCCTCCCTCCCTCCCTGTAGTCTTTTAGGACACGTGACAGGTCCCAGAAGACTACAGGACCATTCATGAAGCGCAGCGCTACTCGCGCATGCGCAGTGGGTACCCGGCTGTGAGGCCGCAAACCGTCACAGCTGGGTGCCCACACTGAAGATGCCGGCCTCCTAGAATACAGGACGGCCGGTGGAATCCGGCTGCAGGGGACACAAAACGGGACCGAGGGACAGGTAAGTGGCTGTTTTTTAAAAGTCAGCAGTTGCAGTTTTTGCAGCTTCTGACTTTTCATTTTTTGACAGCGTGAGCGGAACTCCGCTTTAATCATTACCGTCATGCAATAGCTCCCCCTCACCCACAGAAGGCGCAGGACTCCAGCATCAAACCACTGCAAACATGCACAAAATCCATACAGTGATTATCTCCCTTCTACTTTATAAATAAAATCATTTTTTTTTTTATCAGCAAATAGCGTACAAGCTCCACCATCCACAGCAATCCGTTATCTATAATTGGTCCCATTGCGAAAAAAAATGTCGAGGCAGAGTAGAGGTGTTCTAACATGAACCATACTAGGTCATCCTAGAATGTTCTGCTAATAAAATATGAAAACTATACAAAAAAACAAAAAAAACAGTGTGGGCGCCTGCGTGTCAAAGTGGCAAAGATCAAGTGAGAAGAGATAGATATTTAAAGCTGAACTCCGAAATATTGTCTAAATCCATTCACCGTGTATATTCCTCCCTGAATCTCAGTGTACTTTGTGTATTTCTTCCAGATCTGTGCAGTAATCCAGTGTGAGATTTTTTCTCTGTAATAAAGACCTCTCACTGCTGCTCGCTCTCGGTGTGCAGGGTGACTGGTCTTGTCTCCGCCTCCTCAGGTAGTTTTCTGCACGTAGCCTGTAGTGGGTGGAGCCTGCTGGGTCTCTCTGCTCAGGCTTTGTACAGTACAGTGATGATGTCACTGATACATTTACAAATATCTAAATTTACAAAGATATTTGGTACGCAGAAAGTGAATATTTTATCCTTTGTGGTTATTAAGGAATATATTACATGAAAGGATCTTTGCCTGAAGCAGGGTGGATAAAAATCAATGATTTTTTTAAAAAAAATAAAAAAATTGGATTTTTTTATTTAAATCGGATTTTCTTATTTAAATTTTTTTTTTAATAAAATGCTTTTTGAGGAAAATATATTACCATCCAAAGGTTATTCCATCATGAAATAAAGATTAGTTTTTTTAATTATGTAGAATAAGGCTGTATATGTTTAATTTTTTTGGTAAATAAATTCCATGAATCCATTCACAATGTCATGCTCTTCCAGAGGTTTCTGTAAGATTATTGGGCAGTTTCTCTGCCTACAAGATATTATCACAGATGTTTGGTTTACTTTTGCAGTTCTCAAAACTGAATTTGACTCAGCGGAGATCACATGCCTCTTCACAGCAAAAATGTTATAACATGAACTGAGTTAAGAAAAAGACCTTCATCCTAACTTCTACAAACCTATGAATACAGAATCAACCCCTTCAGTGCTAAGTTTCAAGAAGTTCAGTGAATAGAATAGAAACAATATTTTTCTGATTGTTTGGAGTGGAATAGATCTGCACAAGAAGAAAGTGAAACTAAGTGTGAGGAGGAAGGGGCTGACAGTCTAAGTTTCTTAAAATATATATATTTTGTTTAGCCAAATTAGTTCACAAACATGGATGTTTAAGCAAATCACATATGCTGGAATGTTATTGTTTCAGTTGAATAAATCTATTTAAATTGTTATTATTAAGGTAATGATTATTTTTCTCCTTCCTAAATACAACAGAAAAGTTGTCCAAATATGAATGATTAAACTGGGGATAAAAAAACTAATATGAAAAGTTGTTATTCTAAAAATCTTCATCTACTTGCATATTAAAGTTATACCAGCAAGAATTAGTCTTTATGTAGAAAACTAGGATTTATATCAAGCCTTACTGACTAGTGATTTAAATCAAATCCACCCTGGCCTGAAGTTCACCTTTAAATAGAACAGCATATTTAGCTTGAAAGGAAAATGTTGTTTATTTTAATGGACATAATATGCAAAATTTTTGCAACATTTATTTTAAAGTGAACCTATACTTTTTGCATGTAAAAAAACAACAGGTTCACTTTAATGCCCGCTGCAGCTTTTTTCTACTAATCATTTTCTGTTCGGTTTGGTTGTTGGATGTGAAGAGAAGAAGTACTAGGGTCATTGGTTCGAATCTCAGCCACGACACCACCCGCCTGGAGCCTTTGCATCCGGTTTCTCCCTGTGCCTGCATGGATTTCCTCCGAATGGTAAACTGACAGCACCGGTTTGTCACCTCCCACACACCAAAGACATGCTGGTAGGTGAATTGGTTTCTGTCCAAATTGGCCCTAGTATGTGTATAGTAAGTGAATGTGAGTTAGGGACCTACCCCAACTCCACCTAAAAACTGTACTTGAATCACCTCCACCAGATCATCCCCCGCAGCTATCACCTTTTGTATCACCTCCCCCTTCCTTTACATTGTAAGCTCCATGAGCCGGGCCCTCCTATTCCTTCTGTACTGAAATGTATTGTAATATCTCCCTTATATTGTAAAGCGCTGTGCAAACTGTTGTCGCTATATAAATCCTGTATAATAATAATGTACTAGTATGAACTGCTGCACCGCAACTACGTGCAATTCAAATGTCTGAGGTTCAGTGGTGCAGACTTTTCAGGGCTAAAACAGTGGTTAGAAAGCAACATCAACTGCCCTCGGAATGCCAATCCACCATGGATCGCTCTTCAGGGGGGGCTCCCCATGTGAATGAGCCCGTACATCCACTTTAAGTAAACCTGTGCAGGTTCATGAAAAAGCAACATTTTGCAAAGTGAAAATTAGGATTTTTTGTTTTTCATAATTCCATGCCCCCAGAACACCTGCTGCTAGAGACCGTTGTGTGCATTGCTTCATTAAGGGGCCTCCTCCCGACTGCAATCAAAGCGCATTCACACAGCAAGCCTGAAAAACCCTGCTGGCGTCTCCTGAAAGCCGGAGCTCTATTGGCTGTTGTTGTGTTCAGTGAAAGCGCCGCTGAAAATATTTGCCCGACATCAACAATGAAAATAATGAGGAGTGCCGGTGTGAAAAGCTGAAAGCTGACTGCCTTCCAAAAAATCCAACCGAATGCAAACAGGATCAGAAAAATGTTTATTTATTTTCACGTTTAGCATCACGGCCGCAAAACGTGTCGGTAAAGTTCATGCAAAAACCTGAATTTCGGTGGAAAAATAATCACATCACACAAACCCGGGTGTCGTGACGTTCCCCAACTATGGGGTACCCCAAGGCGAAGGTTTGCTGAAAAAAAACAGAAAAGAGGAATTTGGAGAAAATACAAACGAAAAGTGATGCGCGTTTGCAAAAATAGGTCGCATTATGTAAACGCAAAGTACGCAGAGCTGCTGGCAGGTTCAGCAGAATGACATAAATTCCTTTCAGATCCGATCAACTGCTGATAAGTGACGATCCGCACTCCGTCAGACCTGATCTATGGAGAAGAACACTGAGGTGACAACTTATGGGACAAGGAGCGGTTTTGGGTGACCCCAGCAGACCCCTTTGGCTTCTTTAAATCGATTGCAAGCCCAATCTATTTTCAGTAGGCTCGGCATTGTGCCTCACTATTTCTTTTGAGGCTGTTGCAAAGTTTCTTACCCAGGGATCCTGCCAGTAACAGCACTT